ACAAAGATATTTGACGTTACTGTAGACATTTGCAGTCTGAATAACATATCCAAAAACCATTTCAAATACATTACGCATAAAAAATATTTATGGGAGAGAAAAATACTGAAAATATGCAGTTTTTCTCTTATAACCGGAAGTTGTCGTTTTTGTTTCCGGTGGGACTGATATATTTCGAAAATACAAAAAAAATGCTATAATGTGATGCAAAAAAATTTCAAAAAAGAAAAAGTTGAAATTTTCGATTTCTTTGATCACTTCCTGTGACGACCGGAAGTGACAGCAGACGATGTTAACCCAATTGGTTTTGCCTACTAATCAAGATCTATTACTCATATAAGTTTGGTGTCTTCATCTTTTACCGTTTCTGAGATATGACTCGGACAAAACTTTTTTGAAAAAAGCGGAAATCGGACATAACTGACGACCGGAAGTGACTTTTGAAAAACTGAAAACTACATTTGAAAGATATTTTGATTGTCTATCATCCCTGAAAATTTCATAAGAATCTGTCCAGTCATCTCTGAGAAATCGTCAAAAAAAGAAATTACAAAAGGGGAAAAAAATAATAATAAAAAGAAACAGTAGAATCACTATAAGGTCTTCCGTCTGAAACGGAAGACCTTAATAATAATTCTTAGATAAGTATCTTGTTGTGGAGAGATTTATTGCAATCATACTAACACTGTAGGAGGAGAAGCCTTATAAAATAATTTTGCAGAATTTTTTATTTAAGTAACCATGGCAACATCATTTAACAAAATCAACCAGAATTCTCTGATGAGACTGAAGCTCTTCTGGTATGTACATATAACAAAGGAAAAGTAACACTTGAATTTGAAACTTTCCAACAGGCAGCAATAAACATGATATAATTATGTATCTGAGTGTAGTCTACTTGTTTGCCAAGTTATATATATTGAAATCAGACCAAAGCTGTAGGAGGAGCTGAGTTTTTAAAAAATTGTTTACAGACAGGCAGATGGACAACAGACACCTTACTATCGCAAAAGATCTTTTGAACTCTGAATAGTAAAGCTAAACATGTTTTTTTCTAAATATTTCAATCCATCAAACAAAGTGGTAACTAGATGTTTATTGTCCATGAACAAAATTATAAGTAGTTGCTTAGACAAGTGTTTTACCTTTGTAAGTCCACGCAGAGAAGATGGATCCTTCTTGATTGTCTTTCTCTTTTTCAACAACATCTTCAAACTTCTTTGTCATGTCCAGCACAAGGATGAAGAAGGACTTTGGTGTTACGTAAATTTGGTGACAGGCATAATACGCTAACTGGCCAGCAAAATCCAGCATGCTAACAGTCGGTAATTTTTCTTTATCAGACAAGATTTTTTGAAAAAATTCCTCTTTCACCATAGCTGGAGCTTCTGAAGAGAGAACACTGGCCATTACCTCTACTGAAATATCTTCTTTCCTGCGCTTAGTTGGTGGGCTAGACAACTCTACTTTCTCTTCCTTCTTTTCTTCTGTGCTATGAATAACTTCAGTGTCTTTATCAGAATTTTTCACATCCAGGTAGTCCCCTTGTCCAGGTGTATTGGAGCTGTCAACTGCACTGCTTGGGTCTGGTTTTAAATCTGCAGCGTTTATCCTGATAAATGTTTTTAATGGAGAGTTATCATCAGCCACTGTAATAAGAGATTTATTATTCAGTAAATGAATTCATTTTAAAACATGTTATATAGTAACTGTATACAGTAGCTGCAACTTTATTGTTGAGAAACCAATTATGAAGAATCGTTTGTGATCATTCACATAATGGGAAATATTGTCCATTAATCATATGCAGTTCTAATCGTGCTTGATCGGATGATAAGAAACAACAAATATCCTTTTGGCAGATTCTATTACAGATCAATTTGACAAATTGTATATACAAAATTTCATTTCAATGTGTGCAAAAAATGAACGGAAACTGATGGTTTACCGACAGACAGACCAATCAAAAGACAGCAGTGTAGCTAAGAGGGACATAATAAGCCGCCCTCCATGGAACCCCTGACCAGGGACAAGAAATTCATAATTTTGGAAAAGCAATCTTCCCTCTTATTTCTATGTACAGCAAAACTCGGTTGTAACGAAGTCGCTGGGACCTTTGAAATTACTTCGCTATATCCGTAATTCGTCATAACCATATAAGAAATTCATTAAATTTATATAGCTGGGGCTTCAAAATGACTTTGCTATATCCGTAAATTCGCAATATCCGTGTTTGTACTAAACGAGTTTTACTGTACTTCGTTCACAGCTTAATACCCAGGAGCAGAAGATTGATTGTATATAGATATTGACGTCCCTCTCGAAAATATTGCACTCATATGGAGAAGTCACCGTATGCCGGTGAAGGGCTTCAAATTTTGACCTTTTCTCGGCACTCAGGGCCACTGAGCAGTGGGGATCTTTATCGTTGCAATTTACGCCTGCCGCTGACACGGGGCCTCGGTTTTAAGGTCTCATCCGAAGGACCCGCAACTTTCACTTCAAAGTGCCAAGTGCATGACGAAGGAACAGCTGCTACCCATTTTATCGACTAGGTCGGTCGCGGCCGAGATACGAACTCACGACCTCCCGATCACGGAGCGAGCGCTCTACCGACTGGGCTACCGTGAACGGTCAAGGGCAGAAGAAAAGATATTTAAAGAATTCATGCATTTTCACTACATTTATAAATTAATCATTAGAGCCCCACCCTAACACCAAAAAAACCTACCCCAGGGCATTGAATTTCAGTTTTGGGAGAAGCACTCTTCCTCATTATAACTTCTTAATTAATTCATTAGTTTAATACCCAAGAACAAAAAGATATTTTCAAAGTCAAATCAACAATGAAACACATGCGTCCAAAGTCGTCATTAAGGGTTGGGGGCTAGGTGTCAAAAGGTGTCATTAAGGAGTAAAGGAGGGCAAGGTCCAAGGGGAAAAGAGTTAAACATTTATCACACGTTTTCTGAATTTTTTAACAAGGATTGCCTATTGTAATTAAAATCTAGCTCAAAAGAAAATGTATATTTTGCCAGCGGACAGCAATATCATAACTGCACAGAAGCAGAAAAGATTATTAAGAATGCATTTCGCAAGAATATAAATCAAACCCCACCCTTAAGACAGAACTCCTGACCCTGAAGCCATGAAATTTACAATTTTAAAAGAGACACCTTTGCTCAACACCTATGCATTAAATTGAGTAGAAAAGAATATTTTCAATACAATTTCACAACATAACCTATATAGCCCCGCCCTAGCAGTAGAACCTGCATATTGTGTCTTGGCTTTCATAATTTTGGTAGAGGAGTTAGTGCTGATTAGAATCATGTCAGCAGTTTGGCTGCAGTAAAGAAGATAATTCTTAAAAATAGCAATAACTGTTGGCCCCACCACTCAGGCATCAGGGGGCAGGGACCAGTATTTGATAGTTTTTGTTTCCTTTCTGATCTATAAATGCTATATGCAATTTGCAAAATTTAATTGAAATTTGTTCAGTGATGACAAGAGAAGATGCTAAAAGTGATTAAAAATTTATGACCGATGGATGACAAACGATGCACGAAGGCCGACGAAAAACAGATACATAATAATTGTAGCCAAAAGTCCCCTGAGTGTTGACTAAAGGTAGATGGCGAGGCCTAGGGCATCTGTTGAGGAAACCATCCAACAATATCACCAAAGTAGCCCTTAGATGGGCACTGGAAGGGAAGAGGAAACCTGGTTGGCCAAAGACCGATTGGCAAAGGTTTGTTGAAAAAGAACTGAAGTACCAGAACCTAACTTGAGAAAAATGTTAGAGATAGAGAGAAGTGGATAAGTCTAGTGGTTGCCCTATATGCCCATGGGCATAACAAAGACTAGTAGAAATATTCGGCTAAGTAAAATTAAGGGCATCAATGCCACTTTACGCGAGATTTTTATCAATTCTAAGTCTCGGTTTGTAAATAACACACAAATAAGATCCGTTTACAAAATGTGACATATACGACAACTTTTATAATAGGATGCAAATACAACGGGTTTTGCTTAATACTACTCGAGTTTGTCTTTATTTGACATTTTTTTTAAATTTTATTCATATTTCTTTATATAAAATTAATCCCCAATTGTGACCCTTCCATACCCCGCGGGGTCATGATGTGATATCCTGTATTTAGTCAGAAAATGTTTTTTTTTTATGTATGTCAAATATCATAATATGTAGGTCATTTCTATTTAATAAATGATAATTAAAAAATGCTTATTAAAATAAATACAAATTAGCCAGATTTGAGTTATTTATATTAGCTACTTTTTTTAGACCTGCATGGTTTTGATTTCATATTGGTTATATGGTTTTGTAAGTTCATTCCAATGTTGGCTTTGTCCTGGGCCAGTCCCTTTTGGAGACTTGTAATTTGAAATCAAATTCTTTACAATCAACTTAAGAGTTTTTGGTTTTTGGATCTCAGGTTTGTTTGATCAGTTTTCTTATTTATTATGGAGTTTATGTACTCATTTTATGATTATGTATTTTGCATAAATTACAGATTTGATAATTGCATTTTTATCGTATCATTTTCATAGTCTTAAATAGGAGAAATACTTGAGTGAGCAGGATTAAATAATTTTGTTATATTTTCATAAAACCTTTATTTCAGTCATTGAGTAAATTATTTACAGTAACACAGAGTATAAAGATTATAAAGCCTGATATATTTATAATACTTGGGAAAACAAAAATTTAACCATGGCCTTGCCACATTTGACTATTGACCTTCACACCTCATGTGAGGTAAAAGTATAAGTGTGTTTTATTTGCATGAAATGGACTTTCATGATATTTTCTCTGTTTATAAATTATTTCCGTTTTGGTTAATGAAAGTTTAATTCGTTGATTCTGTTTATAATTTATTATTTCTAAATTGGAAGTATGTAAATTCTGGATGACATCTGATCCCACCCTCTGATGTTTTGAAGGTCCATGTTTGCTCTGCTCCTATTTTGTTTTGTTTTATGGACTTTAATATTGAATATATGTACTGTTCAATATCTCCATATCCTTTATCCAAGGATGTTTTAAACTATGTTTTAAACTAAATTTATCTAAAAATTGCCTATAGATTCTTGATTCAAAGTTGAAAATGTGAAAAGTTTACATATGGAAAGATGGACGGACGACGGACAATGGATGATCAAAAAGCTCACTTTAGCTTTCAGCTCAGATGAGGTAAAAACTCAAAGTGGCTTCTTCTGATGAAATAGTGACTTGTCTGTCATTTGTACTTTGAATATTTATCAGAAATTATTTTTACCTTCCAGAGTTCCATCTCTAACAAAGAAGAGATGTTGATGGACTTCCAGTCCCCTTGTGGACTCTGTAATTTCATTTACAATTTGACGTTGCCCTCTTAATCTTTTCAGTAGCGTTGTTTTTCCAGCCTCAGCACATCCAACAAGTATTCCTCTGGCGTGGATAATAGTTGTCTTCTCCTTCCTCAGAAACTTCTTCAACTCTTCCACTTTATTTATATCAACACTGCTTGGATCTATAACAAAAACAGTCATGTTCTCAGAATGGACATCAGAACACACACATGAAGCAGAATTTGAAATTTTGTTTTAATCCATTTTGTAGGCATTTCAAATTATGTTACAGTTGTACTCTGTTATTTTCATATCTTATCTTCTGACATCAATTCAAAAATATTATCTGATTATTTCTGTTGCTTTTGTCATATTATTTACCTCAGAAATTAACGGTAGACCGATAGACAAATTCTATAGAAAATGCATCTGGTCTATAGCAAAGTGAAAATCTGAAAACCAATTTGTCTTTATAGAGTGAAAACGGCAGTTTTACGCAATACCACTTTTCAGCCAATGAAAATTATAAGCTAATATGTTCTGTTGTTCATAAATCTCTTTCATCTGATCCATTCTGCAATACTATATGATTAACTTATTCCTAAAAACGATTGTCAATTTTTTAACCCGAATTTCCTCCAGTCCACTGTGTATCGTCAATATGTCTTTTAAAATATTCCTTTAAATTATTTCTTGACTCAGTACTGATCTGGTTCAAATCAAATCACTATAAAAATATAATTAAAGTACATTTAAAATCTAAACATAAATAAAATCAATGTTCTCTCTATATTATAAATCTAAAGGCATGCACTCTTGCAAAAGGGGATGGAAATATATTTAATTTATATTTAATTCAGGGAAATTTATTTTAATGGTTATTGATTAACATAAAAATTGATTTCTTTTTTCAGATATATGCTTAAAATTTTGACCAATATGGCAAAAGAAAAACAAATCCTAAGAGCCTTAATTCATTTTTTATTTCAACATGTTAAAGTAAACACATTTGAGACAAATATTGCAATGCTATTTAGGATATTGTTTAATCAAGTTGTATATACTTTAATAAGCAATCTAATTGCATTCATTATGAAATTTTACTAGCGTACTCTATTAAGTGGTATTACCCCTATTCACACAAGTTTTCATTGACAAGAATTGAAATCTTCTTAGAAATTTCTCCCTGTGGAAATCCGGGTTAGAATAGGTCCTCAGTACCCCCTTGCTTGTTGTAAAAGGCGACTAAATGGGGCGGTCCTTCGGATGAGGCCCCTTGTCACAGTAGGTGTGACACGATAAAGATCACTCCCTGCTCAAAGGCCGTACGTGCCGAGCATGGGCCTAAATTTGCAGCCCTTGACCGGCAATGGTGATGTCTCCATATCAGTGAAATATTCTGGAGCGGGACGTTAAACAGTATACAATTTTAGAAATTTCAATGTTCCCTGCATCTGAAAAATTCCTTATTTGTTCTAAAGTGTAAAAAAAACTGGAATAATTAATCATGCACAGATGTATGCTTCTTAACGTTCAAGTGTTTTTAATTAAATGTCAAAACATAAAATAATGCAGGGTGGGGAAAAAGAACAAGCCATTGAAAAATGTACAATTAATCGAAAATATAGATACGGTATATAATTTTCTTTCGGTCTATAGGAAATTAGTCAGGTCTATAGAATTTGAAATTATTGTAGACCAATTGTCTATAGCTTAAAAAAGTTAGTTTCACACACTGAGACAATTTAACAAATAAACACAAATAAAGGTTAACTGAGAAAACATTGATTTTTATCATATTTTTGTCCCTAATAGATCACTTTTACTGTCGACATAGCACGATACAATGCAACTATTAAATTTCACTGAATATTAGCCAATCCAAGATTGAATATATTTTTTTCTTTGATTTTAAAAGAAAATCAATTTTTTTTTTCATTTGGTTGAAATTAAGAAAGTTTTTTTTCTCAATATTATAAATACAGAACAAAAAGGTTTGTACCTAAAAAAAACAGTGAAAGAAAATTATTAAATAGGATGATGTAGTTAGACACCCCCTTCCCATCCCCCACCCCCAGAAAAAAATGTGTGTGTTGGCGGGGGGGGGGGGGGGGAGTAGGCTGTTATAACTTAGTAATGCTGTGAATTGTTTTGTTTCATGCAGCTAAAGTTACATGGATATAATATACATGTTGAATGTCAACCCAGTACAAAGAATAGATTAACTAAACACAACAGAAATACACAACATTTCAAAAAAGAGCTGTGTAATTATCAATGATGTCATTATCTAAATGTAAACTTTGTACAAAATGCTTGTAGTCACTGTGATTGAACTTTGTTTGTATTAATGGATTATTTAAAGAACTGCTTATATCATCTAAAGATAAGTACTAGGCCCCCCCAACCCCTCCCTAACCTCCAAACCCCCTTATTTCAATCCCCTCACCACAATCAACCACATTAACACCACACCCATTTTACAACTATTTTTCCTGTTTTCTGAGATGTTGTTGTGATCTTTAAAATTAACTTAGCTATATACCACCTAAATTATGTATCTTAGTGTAGTCTACTTGTGTGTAAAGTTATATTGAAATCAGACCAAAACTGTAGGAGGAGTAGCATTTTGAAAAATTGTTTAAAAACAGACGGATAGACGGACGGACGCCGGACGCATAACTATCGAATAAGCTCTTCTGGTCTCTGACCACTAGAGCTAACTAGTGTGGCTCGGTATTATTTAGTACTAACATGTTAGTAATATAATATACCAAAATCTGCTCTTAAAACATTGTTTAATACCTATAAAACATAAATTTAATGAAAATTGGGATTTTATTTTGCGCAAAACATCGAGACCAAACTCTCATAGCTTAACTCATGCACTCATCCTTTTGTTTGAACACATTGAATGGTGTATTGAAAGTATATATTATCTAATGATAAGGTCTATGACATTACCAACCAAAATCCCCCTCCAACACACATGAACTCGCACCAATTTTACAATTATTTTTCCATTTCCTGACATTTGTAGTGATCTATAAATTTAACCTACAAACCATCAGAGGAATATGAAATATAATGTCAACCCAAATAGAACACAGTATCAGTGAGAAATATTTTACAAATTATTTGACGGTCAGGGAACTTAACACTTTATACTACATCATACAAGATCGTGATGATACAAAATCTATGTCAAGTCTTATCTGTACAAAATCAGGAGTAGTTTGTCAAAGACAACAAAGTTAACAACTAAATACATATTACAATAACCGTTATTAAATGTAACGTATATTATTTGCAAAATTATTTAGTTATTAATTATTACTAATAAACTAGAACTGTCCAAACGGGACAAAATACCCCCCCCCCACCCCCGCTGGGTTTTTTAGAAGTAAGTTTTTCCATAATAAAGATATGTATCAAATACGAATTATGAAATTTTTCTTCCAGTGACCTTGAACTTCCCCAAATGACCCTGGATCAAGGTCACGACACACCCTTGGGTCATGGGCAATCTTTGTGTGAAATGATAACCTACCAAGTTTATCCATAAGAAAGATATGGACCGGACACGAATTATGAAATTTTTCTTCCAGTGACCTTGAACTTCCCCAAATGACCTTGGGTCAAGGTCATGACACACCCTTGGATCATGGGCAATCGTTGTGTGAAATGAGAACCTACCAAGATTATCCATAAGAAAGATATGGACCAGACACAAATCATGAAATTTTTCTTTCAGTGACCTTGAACTTCCCCAAATGACCTTGGATCAAGGTCATGATACACCCTTGGGTCATGGGCAATCTTTGTGTGAAATGAGAACCTACCAAGTTTATCCATAAGAAAGATGAATACTTACGAGAATCCCCTGGACTCCCGTTAATCTGACTCAGAACATTGGCTTTGGCAGAAGGCTTGGTATTGCCGTAATCCATCATTGTTATGATAGAGGTCATGTGCTCCTCCAGGGTCATGCTACTTTTCTGCTCCCCGCCCGGATCCTCGGATTTCGGGGTCCTAGCCTCCATACTGGATGTGGTTGGACTGTTCTCACTGTCAGACACTTGTACTGATCCACTCTGAAGGAAAAACAAGACTAACTTGTAAAATCATCTCAATATTCTTTACTACCAAGATTCTTTTGCAATCCTTTTACAATTGTTAGCAAATTCAATTTTTAAATGCTGCCCATATTCATGTCCATAAAATTTTACAGATCCATTAACATAGAACACTTACTATAAGTTCTATACACTTCTATCTCAAAATATCATATAAAAACACAAGAGCTTGAATTCGGTTTTTAATGAATACTTGTGGAGTGCTTGACATTGGAGAGGACTTTACTGGTCTCTGCTGGGACTTGTGCACCCAGCGTTTCTTGCCATGCGGGCGGGGCATGGATGATACCACAGAGGATGCCTCAGGTTTGGTGATGGCGGTTTCCTCAGTTGAATTGTTAATCTGGTGGATGATAATAGCATCAATTAAGTTTGCGTCAGATAAAGAAGCTTGTCTCTCACTTCCAGAGCGATTTGTTCCACTTGTATCCTGTGCAAAAGCTTTAAAGAACTCCGCTGGAGTATGGATCTTACTGGTAGCATTCCTGAATCCTGGAGAGGATCTGTTTGAGAAACTTTTGTTGGACTCTGTGTCACTTTTAAAACCTCTGTCTTCTTGTTTTGGGGATCCCATTATTTCCCGCCTAATCTGCTCCTCCAGATTAAATGCCTTGTTTTTGTTAGCATTCTCCCTCTCTTGTTGCTCCTGTCTCTCCTGCATTTGTCTTCTGTTGTACTCCTGGTGCTGAGCTGCTAAAGTGGTAGCCGGTATGCTGGACCTTGGTTGTTGTTGCTGCTGACGTAACATTTGATCATATCTCGGTGAATGTGCACTTTGTGTTCCCCTCATGCCCTCCCCTGGGTAGTCTGGTCTCTCATTGGCACTGATAACACTAAGCCGGACTGTGCCATGGGTTATACTTGGTTGTTTATGTGGAACTTGGCTTGGACCAGGCATTTCTTGTTTGGGCCAACCACTAGGTTTCTCCTCATGTGGTGGTGCATTATGGGATGGATATGGTGACATAGGCATCTGACCAGGTTGAAGATAGATTAATCCTTGACTTGTCTGTGTGTATCCTGGCATTAAAGATCGTTGGCCTGGCTTTGACTCTTTGCCTTTCGGTGAGGGCTGACTCTCCTGTTTTCTAGGAGGTCCACCCATCTGCCGAGTTTCAAAATCACATCTTATAGTTTGTCTAGTGCTGTTCTCGGGCTTATAATGAAAAGGCATCCCTGGCTTTGGATATTGCTGTGGAGGCCTTTTCATCTGCTGTTCCATCATTATTCTTTGCTGCTGCTCCCACTCCATCAGCATCCTAGGTCCCTCCATGCTTCCAGGGGCACCTCGAATCCCAATCTCTCTATTTACAGGAGTCCCACTGGTTATTGATCCACTGGGCATCCTTGGCTGGCCTTGTAGATTCTGCTGCCTGTGGATCGCCTCTTGTCGCTGTGCCATATTAGCAAACTGATTAATGCTCAGAGCAACTATTCTTACAGGTGTACCTTGTGTTATTGATCTAGAGCCTGAATGCATGACAGAATCAGGAACCAACATAGAAGGACGACCAGTTGATGGGGGAGATTTTGTATTCAATTTTGGTGATGGTCCTTTGTTATTTATCAGTGGAGGGGGTGAGGGAATGACCTTGCGGGGCTGTCCACGAGCATGTGGTTCCATATTTTGGGGCATCCCTGTAAAAGGAGAAGTGCTTGGTGGGATGTGTCGGTTGATGGCTGGAGACACAGCTTGTCTCTCATGAAGATATGGCTGTGGAGATGGAGGTCTATTAGTCAATGGCATTGCCTCACTATGAAAATATCCAGTGAGTTTCTGAGAGTGGACAGGTGTTGGTCCTGAGGATCTGGGCAAGGGGTCCTCAGCAGGTCTCCTATACTCATACTGGGGCTGGCTACCAAAATCACGGGGGTTTCCCCTGTAGCCAGAGGGAGCTTTAGAGAGATCCTGGGGGAGGTCCCCTCCCCTGTCTCTGCTGTCTGGGGGTTCTCTCTCCATCCTGCCTGGTGGCATGTGATAGGGAGATACAGAATGGCGTCCACCATTATCAGGCATCTCTTTACGGAGATCCTGGACATTGTACTGACCAGCACCTGGTACCATGGGCTGACCTCTGTACACTGGCTCTGAGGAGACAGGACCTAATAAAACATTAAATGTATAATTCAGTAAATACCATCCTCAAATTTTTGTACTGTACATAACTCTTAATTAAACTCCAATTTTTTATATAGAATACTAGAAATATGTCCATAAGACATGAATGCCCCGCCGAGAATATATTTGAAAAGCAACATAAAATTTGTATGTGTCTAAAATTTGATCAGTTTGGTTTAAAAATGTAGGTCAGATCAGAGCTGGACTGGAGGCCACTCTGCTGGGCACTGGGCTCTGTCGGACTGCTGATGGATGAGGAAGTGGCCCACTTCTCATTGATAATCCTGGGCATGTGGCAGGTCTGGGCTGAGTGGGCACCCTTAATTGGGCCCCTTGCATCATTTGCTGGAGTTGAGTTTTGGTTGTGTGTTGGACCTGTTGGGGAGGGCTGAGGAGGGAAGCCACCAGTGTTCTGCTGCTGGATTGGCAGTTTTGAGGCAGGTATTTCAGATTTTTTACAGCTAAATGTGTCTCTTGGCTCATCTATGCACTACAGAAATGTCTTACTTACAACATAATCTCAATGTACATATTATTTTAAAAAGCATGAAAGGAGAAAATGAGCTCTGTCATAGCAAAGTGAGTTCTTTAGAAGAAGAATTTTAAAACATGCCACCAAATTTTCACTATTTCACAATTATCTCCCATTGAATAAGGGCGTGGCCCTTTATTTGAACAAACTTGAATCCCATTTACCAAAAGGTACTTCCTGCCAAGTTTGGTTGAAATTGGCCCAGTTGTTCTGGAGAACAAGTCAAAAACATGAAAAGTTTACATACAGATGGCTAGAAAGACGGACGCCGGACAAATTGTGATCAGAAAAGCTCACTTGAGCTTTCAGTTCATGTGAGGTAAAAAACTAATAAGATAACAGAATAATGTTTACCACACTGGTTTCTTGTTTCTGTTATCTTTTCTTCTTGTGTCTGTGATCTGGGTAAAGAAAACAAATAAATTATCATACATTACATCGATAGAGAATGCTCGTACTTTATTTATCTTATTTTATTCGATCATGACAAAAATGTGTCTACTTTTTGAAATAATAATTATGTGTTTTTAAATTTAATCTTGATTTACCTTGATTAATTTTAATCATTCTAAAAAACAATTAAATGTACTAGATTAATTTATTTTATAGTTTTATTTAACCTAAGAACTTTTACGAGTGAAGAAAATATGTAAACCTGCCAGGTGTTGATTCATTTGGTTCTCTTAGCTCAACATATCCTGTGAAATCTGTAAAAACAAATTCAGAACATTACAAATGGTATACATGTATATAATGTGTATGAGCTTGTAAAACTTAGTAGTTATTTAAGGAATCACTGTGTAGTTAGTATAGTATGCCAGGGTTGAAGTCTCAAAATTTTGTTTAAATGAAAGTCATATGAGATAAATAGAACTTAATTTGTCAGTGACCTTGACCTTGCCAGATCATAACATACCCTCAGGTCACAAACAATTTTTGTTCCATTATAAGCTTCAAATGAATCTCACAGAGTTATAGTCTGGACATGATTTTATAGATAGAGAGCTAGTCAGACAGACAGACAAGGCGATTCCTGTGAACCCGGCCCTCAAACATACTATGCTGGGGGTTTATCAGACTAATATGAACAAGAGGCCCATGGGCCATATCGCTCACCTGAGCAATGTGGATAGGGAAAAAGCAGAAATCAGTTTATTACTGAAAAGTTTAAACCCAATAGTAGTCCCAACCAATCCTTAAAAGGGAGAGGGTATGATTTGAACAAACTTGAATCTTCACTAACTAAGGATGCTTCCATAGTTCTTTGACTACCTGTGGCTTTATTGCCCTCTACATTTGAACTTACATTGTGGCCCCGCCCTATACCCCCAGGGGTCATGACTTGAACAAAATTGAATCTACACTACCCAAGAATGCTTCCATATGAACAGGACTAATCATGGCTTTGCTGTTTTTGAAAAGAAGAATTTTAAAGAAATTTTCTACATGTTTCTACTCAAAACTTGGATTCCATGTTGTGGCCCCGCCCTACCCCCTAGGGGTCATGATTTGAACAAAATTGAACCTACATCACCTGAGGATGCTTCCATAAAAAATGATCACTCATGTCTTTGCTATTCTTAAGAAGAAGATTTTTAAAGAATTTCCCTACCGGGTATATATTCTATGTAAAACTTTGATCGCCCATTGTGGCCCCGCCCTACCCCAAGGGATCATGATTTGTACAAACCTGAAACAACAGTGCCTGAATATGCTTCCATAAAAATATGATCAATCATGCCTTTGCTATCCTTGAGAAGAAGATTTTTAAAGAATTTCCCTATACATTTCTAAGCAAAACTTTGATCGGCTATTGTGGCTCCGCCCTACCCCCAGGGATCATGATTTGAACAAACTTGAATATCCACTACCTGAGGATGCTTCCATAAAAATATCTGTAAGAACTGTAACTCTTTCTCTCATTGCATCAGAGATGACTTTAAAAAAAAGTGATCAATTTGAATCTGTAATATTTTTTAAAAAATACCTGTAGAATGGTTTGAATTAGCCATGTTTCAGGTTTCTCCCAAATTTTAAAACGAGTAATGGAATAATCACTAATTGTTTTCAACACTTTTCCGTTTCTAACGATTAATGTATCCTAACAATGACAAAAATATTAAATCCATGTCTATTAAGAAGATGTATCTATATATTCGTCTTTATAGTGCTGTATTACAGTATAAAGCAACATATTTTGTCAAATGTTTATGCTCCAATATTCGCGTAGCTAATGCATCTAAATTTTAGAGAGTTTTCCATACTTTTTCTAAAATTGGCTTCCTTGTTTTCTTAAATAAATGTTGCTTTTCAGTAACTGCTCCTTCACTTATAACAATAATAACGATAAACAGAAGTCTCATACACATAACAGAAATGTCAAAACACTGAGTCTTAGTCTAGCTCCAAAAAGTTCGGTGCAATATTAAGGATATTGTTAAAAGTTTACTCTGATCCAACCTTTATTTAAAGCCCAGACAGAGTAATACAATGCACATATCTGATAAACACTACAGATGAAGATTTTGTTGAATGCTGCCGTTATTTAGCCCTTTATTCTGACATTTAAATCCTACAATTTGAATTTAAAGTATAGAGTTGTGAAATACGACGCTTCTTGCCGCTTCATGTCGGAAAATTTCATTAAAAATACTTAGTCGTGAAGAGTTGTAGTTCATATACCTCATGAGTTATCAAATATTAAAGTCATTTCATCTACACTCCATCTCACTTGCAATGAACTCTCTTTATTTGAAAAACCGTCTACGTTGAAATGAATTCCCCTTAGATATTGGAACAGACTCTTTGTAAAAATATACTTGGTTGGAACGAAATCGGTTGAATTGAAAATCTCTGTTCATTTCTACATTTCGAGGTCCACTGAACACAAAGTGCTTTAAAAAATTTACATTTTTTGTCTGACGAACATCCACATTTAAAGATATGTATGCCGTGTTAATCAGTATTTTTGCACAGCTGAAACCGAACATAAATTTCTAGAGTTCCAAAAATGAAGCATTCTTGCAAATTCAACGAAATTTTATTCGGTATTGACAAAGTACTAGTCAGGAAAAGAACATGATATTCTCATGCATATTTATAAAGGACTGACGTTTATCCTGGATCTGCGCATGATGCATCAGGTCGAGGAAAATATTTTTTGTGACGTCTGTTCAGTGAGGGACACAAATAGACCAATCAGCTCAATGAGTTGCATTTAATGCATTTATGTGTTACTACGTAAAATACTACATGTGTTTTTCAAAAAAGGCTAGTTTTTAAATCGCTCTCAGAAAGACTTGATGCATTATGTACATTATTATCTAGTAATCCCATGCTCATATTTGCATACAAATGATTAACAATGATGAAAAGTAAAGTTTTCCCCACTCCATTGTACAGGTCATTTTGTATAAAGTTCCCCGTGCTGTACTGCTAGTGGACATTTTCGGTTGGGTGAACATTTACATATCTTCAGTATGGAGCGCATATTATGCGCAAAAGATATTTTATGTCAAATACAATGTATGGAAAATAATTTAAACTGCTAAGTTTACACCCTGAATGGGATATCGTAAATTATCCCTTTTCGTTTTTTTAATATGAACTTCATAACATATGTAGATGAAACTTACATACCATACATCTTGCCTTCTTTGAAATATAGTTGGGCTAATAAAATAAAATTGGTCAAGGAATTCCAGGCCTCTAAAAACTATTCCAGTTTGAGAGCACAACCAAGCATTTCGATGAATACCATTAAGAAAAATTAATTCAGGTAGGTAGCATCATTTTTTTAATTGGGTGGGGGAAAAGAACAGTTAGAATAAAAATCAACTAGTTCGAAGAAATCTGACAAGTAAAATAGGTTCCAATATCTTTCACTGCTAAATTTTATTCATTCACAACAATTTACTGCCAAAGTCTAAATTTCACTTTCGAATTAGCCCGTGACAATGCTGATAACCTACTTGCAAGATTTTTTTATACTTTTTTCAAGGAGTCAGAAATACTGTGGTTCACATGAAAAAAATATAAATATATAATCTAGTAGTATTCTGGTTTTGGCCTTCGGTATATTGTGCAGATTTATATATGATATTCTGTGGAATATTTTTTTGTTGGTTTGAACCATTAAGGAATGCAGAATCGAATGTATCTAATAACCATTTTGATTGATCAATTATATCATTTGTTTGTATTGGTAATTTCATTTTGGCACAACATGGTTTCAATACTTCTTTATCCATAGTCGCTGACAGCTGTAGAAGTTCATCCAACCGAAATGTCCATTGAAAAGACAATTGCACGTGTTTATTTCTCGGTACAAAAAGCAACCAACTTTGAGGTGCTCTCAATATTGACAATCCCTTACTCATGTGTTTGTAGTAAAAACGTATGTTGAGTCACGTTATGTCCGCCGTCACGAAATGTCCGCCTCTTTTTCGGAAAAATCGTCACGTTATGTCCGCCGTCACGAA